GTGATATAACAAAGTTCAATTCAAGAAAAATGTGTAAAATCTAATAAAAATCTAAAGGTAATTATCTAATAGAAATATTACATATATAAAAAGATTGCCAATATTTTCAGATTTTGAAAATGAATGCTAATTTTTAGGCTAAAATCACTTCATAATTTATATTCTAAGTTGCCATTAAGCTATCTATCAAAAAAATCTGTAAATTCCAATAATCAAGATTTTATACATAAAACACTTTTGCAGGCTTACAAAATACTCATAGCTGAATGAGTATGGTGACGATATCAACCTATTCCAGATTTGAAATAAACTTTAACATAGGAAAAGTCGTTTACTGTTGATACCAGGAGAGTGAATTCTCTTAGGAAATAAGTAATTTTAGTCTGGCTTAATAGGTACCTTGTAGAACTATAGCAAGCACTATAGATTGAGATATAAGAAAAATATGATTTCTGAAAAAATATCAGGAAAAGAATTTAGCAGATGGTATTTTGCACCTTTGTACACCTCTCTAGTTATAATGCTATAAGGCAATCTTGTTTAACCTGCAGTTAGCAAGCCACATGCCACCCAAGCTGGCTTTGAATGCAGCCCAGTACAAATTCGTAAACTTTCTTAAAAGATGATGAAATTTTTTTGCATATTTTTTTTTAGTTCATCAGCTATCATCAGTGTTTGTGTATTTTACATGTGGCCCAAGACAATTCTTCTTTCAATGTGGCCCAAAAGATTGAACACCCACTTCTCTAAGGCAAAGTTTTGAAATGTGTCATAGCTCTACTTTTGATCCTAAATTCATCAATCTTACATTACTAATTAGTATCTCAATTCCATAGCAAAGTTAGCTTCCTATCCAAAATCTTCAACCATTGTTACCCAAATAAGAAGCCAAGCTCTGAAATTCTAGGTTATTACAAGCATTTCTACATCAACAATAAAAGTTGATAAAAATTTACATAAAGCTCCACACAAATTTAATACACACACCAAAAAACTGGATTATGAAAAGAGCATGTTTCCTACTCTTACAAAAATGTACCCCAATACTAAAGACATTTACTTCTTAATGTTTTTAATAAGGTATGAGAAACAAAATATAATTTTTTAATTAAAACATGCTCTGTACATACATTTGGTTGCTCTAATTTTATGTGTATTACAGTTGATCTCTAAAGTAAATGTGTTTTTCATAGTAACTAAAAGGAAGTAAATCTCTGAAATTTGGTAGTTTAGCTACTGAAAATTATTAGCTGAAATAGTCATTTAAACTGGTAATAAATCATTAAGAAAACAGAGTTCCCAAGATACAACTGTGTAAACTCCATGACACAATTGAAATGGGGCAGTATTTATTTAAAAGATCTGTGTTTTACTATACTTCTAAAATTTCCTAGGATTAAAGATAATCATCTTTTGGCCAACACAGTGGCTCACATCTGTAATCTCAGCACTTTGGGAGGCCAATGCAGGTGGATCACTTGAGGTCAGGAGTTTGAGACCAGCCTGACTAAGAAGGTGAAACCTAGTCTCTACTAAAAATAAAAAAAATTGCCAGTTGTAGTGGCATATGCCTGTAATCCCAGCTACTAGAGAGGCTGAGGCAGAAGAATCACTTTAACCCAGGAGGCTGAGGTTGCAGGGAGCCGAGATCACACCACTGTACTCCAGCCTGGGCAACAAGAGTGAAATTCCTTCTCAAAAAAAAAAAAAAAAGAGAGAATTATCATTTAGAACAAAGGAAAAACTTCCCACCTGTATTTTTTAAACAAATCTGTTAAAATTGTCCTACAAATTTATTGATTTGCTTTTCTATATTTTAAAAAAGGTTTTAAAAAGTGTTTGTTTTTGAGAGGGAGACTCCCTCTGTTGCCCAGGCTGTAGTACAATGGTGCAATCTCAGCTCACTGCAACCTCCACTTCCCAGGTTCAAGTGATTTTCCTGCCCCAGACTCCTGAATAGCTGGGATTACAAACTCCCACCACCACCCCCAGCTAATTTTTGTACTTTTAGTGGAGATGAGGTCTCACCACGTTGGTCAGGCTTGTCTCAAACTCCTGACCTTGGGATTTTATTTTATCTTTAATGGAGATGAGTGAGGTCCTGCTATGTTGCCCAGGCAGGTCTCAAACTCCTGGGCTCAAGTGACTCTCCCACCCTGCCCTCCAAAAGTTTTGGTATTACAGGTGTGAGCCACTGTGCCTGGCCTAATACACGAACTAGAAGTAAACAATCAAACATATGAGAATTTTTCCAAGTGTAAAAATAAATTTCTCTGTGGCATGATTCTATTACAGATCATTGGTATGCCTGATTAAAGCAGACCACAATAAAGATTACATACACCAGACTTTAAACAATTGCAATCCATTGAAATAATAGCATTTACTAATCTCAGCAAATGCTCGATTTATTGAGCATTACACCTGATCAAATGTTTTAATTCAACGTTTACCCAATCCTGAATCATTCATATAAATCAAAATAAAAAGTTGTTATACGAACTTCAAATAATTCTTTAACTTGTAACAGGACAATAATTCCATGATGTGCCAATAGATTAACAATGAGGGAATTAATTTATTAATTACCTTTTTTCATTTATTCACCAAAAATATTTTTTTAGCCTAGGCATTCTGCTAGATTTTACAGTTACAAATGGAAGCAAGGCAGACATAGTATTTGTCACCATGGAGCTTACAATCTAGCAAGAGAAACAAATCATTGCTCGGTAGTTATTAAAAAAAAAAGGAAAGAAAGAAAAAGGAACTCAGCCACCAAACAGACAGCTAATTTAATATAGTAACATTGAACGGTTCTAATTTAATATAGTAACATTGTAATGTTCCAGTTGATATAGTAATATATTGGTAGAAATGACCTCCGCCACTCTCTTTCCAGTAGTTGGAAACCTTTCTTTAATCTGTAAGTATCTTATACAGAATGGACAATCAGAATTTGAACAGATATAATTGATAGTTATATATGATACAGGACAACCAAAAGTATGTATTCTTCATGGCATTATAAGCAATGCACAACTCACAAAATTACTGTACTCAAAATCTCTGCTCGTTAGCAAAAGCATATTTTCCATTAGTAACCAGGTATGTTGGTCAGATTTTCTTGGATCAGTTGCAAGGTCTAAGCAGAGTCACAGATATTATCAGAGTCAGAGAGAGATATATGCCCAAAGCTATTTAGTGGCAGAGTATGATGCAAAAACTTAGTCTCCTAACTCCAAGGTCAATGCCTCTCTTCATTTTATCAGCCAGTTTTACATGTCCTATCTAGGAATACTGTGTCAGTACAATTTAATATTGCCAACTGATAAAACTGCCAGTATATAGAAGTACTGAAAAATATCAGTTTTTAATCCATGATCAACTGTAAATGAAAAGACAACACTATGAACAAACATTATTACCTGACATGGAGGGCAATTCTCTGTGATATGGTAAAATGATTTTGTAAAATTAAAGCACATATTGCTATGTCTACATTTCACTTAACCATCCAATGAGTCAATTCATTGGAGAAGAAAATAAATCAAATCAGTTTCTTACCACTAAAAGATGAGAATATTTTACTTTTCAACTACCTGATCTACTGATAACCTGTCTCTTTCTTATGGATAGCCTTTCTTTTTAGAAGCACAGCAATAAGAAAAATCACTTAACTCATAAGATATTGTTGGTTGATTTTTTTTTCCTTTTCTATAATGATAATTACATTACATTCCTTTTAGGTCTTACATTTTCTACGTAATCTGAATTTAGAAGCAAAAGGTAGTTACCGTCATTTGACAGATATCTTTGTATGTACTTCCTACATAAAAGCCAAAATGAATGTGAGCCACAGATAACTTAAACTTGAAAATAACACGAAAAGAGGCAAGTAAATATAGCACCTTGAACTGAAACATCCATTTACTCGCATTGGGACTAATCAAGGAAACAACTTGATCCACAAAAAATGAAGAAAAGAAAGGCAGGAAAACAGCCTACCTGGGAGCAACGGAGCCAAGGGAACTTCCCTGGCCCAGGGAAGCTGTGGGTGAACGTGTGACTTGCAACCCTTGGGTCAGGAGATGCCCTTGTAAACCCACTCCACTGGGGCCTTCAATCTGACACACAGATATGGGGAGTCTTGGCAAAGCAGCTGCTTAGGCACACGTGGAGATTTTATTTATTTTTAATGTTTTTATTAAAAAATGTAAAAAGAATCTAATGTTTACAATCAAACTTGCTTCTAACTTTTAACAGCTATGTGGCTTTGACTAAACAGCTTCTTTGATCTTCTTATTCTATGATTATGAAGTGGTTTTAACAAAAATATATGCAAAATGTCTAGCACAGTGCCTGACATATGGTGGTTGGTAAGTTACACTTAGTATAAAAATCTTCAATATTTCAAATTTCCTTAGACTAAATTACCGGAAGTAAAATTATTCAATTTAAACTATGATTTCTAAGGCTTTTAACAAATACCAGATTATGTTCTAAATGGTTATGCAAATTTAGATACTCAACAGCAGTGAGTGTGCTCCTGACCAGCAAAATGTTAAAAGACAAATGAACTTAGAAAATGAAGATTAATTGCCGGGCGCGGTGGCTCAAGCCTGTAATCCCAGCACTTTGGGAGGCCGAGGCGGGTGGATCACGAGGTCAAGAGATCGAGACCATCCTGGTCAACATGGTGAAACCCCGTCTCTACTAAAAATACAAAAAATTAGCTGGGCATGGTGGTGCGTGCCTGTAATCCCAGCTACTCAGGAGGCTAAGGCAGGAGAACTGCCTGAACCCAGGAGGCGGAGGTTGCGGTGAGCCGAGATCACGCCATTGCACTCCAGCCTGGGTAACAAGAGCGAAACTCGTCTCAAAAAAAAAAAAAAAAAAAAAAGAAAATGAAGATTAATGAAAAGCCAATTATCAAAGCATAATAAAACCTTAATATCATTTAACCATACACCACTAATAAATTATATCCAATGTAGACTTACCCTGCATGAGGGGCTGCTATCCCTTTATGAGAGGGAGATAAGGTCTGAAGTTTGTTTCCCAAAGAGCTGGTATTTGAAGACACTTTACCTGAAGGTATACCTTATAATTAAAAAAAGCATTGTTTTTAACAATACTCTAAAAAAAAAGTTACATAAAACAGACCATCTAGCAAAGAAAACAAGCTTTAGTAATAATCTTTGTAACTATAAATCACCATTAAAGACATTTTTTAACTGATATTTCCAGGAAACAACATACAGCATTCTTCATTTCTAATTTCTAAATTTCCTTCTTATAATTTATATATAAACAAAGGTACATGTCAGTGGTCAATATCTTCTTCCGACTATTAAGTATTTGTCTACTAAGAACAATAGCGACATTCAGAAAGCTATGAAGAGCTAGCATAAAATGACGAAAATGCCAGATCAAAGAATCAAGAAAGAACTTGTCTGACTATTCTGAATAGATGATATATCAGTAACAACATCAGGGACAAACATTTAAGCTAAAAACAACAAAAATGTGGCCAGGCACAGTGGCTCATGCCAGTAATCCCAGCACTTTGGGAGGCTGAGGTTGGCAGATCATGAGGTTAGGAGATCTAGACCATCCTGGCTAACACAGTGAAATCCTATCTCTACTAAAATACAAAAAAATTAGCTGGGCGTGGTGGTATACACCTATAGTCCCAGCTACTTGGGAGGCTGAGGCTCGAGACTCACTTGAGCCTGGGAGTGGGAGGTTGCAGAGAGCTGAGATCATGTTACTGCACTCCAGCCTGGGACACAAACTGAGACTCCGTCTCAAAAAAAAAAAAAAAAAAAAAAGTTAAAAGAAGAAGCTACTGAAAGTTATTTTATTTTTAGAAATAATTACTTATCCTCTATATCTCTTCTTAATTAGAAATCTATCCTAATACTCCAGAATAGAACACTATCTTTATTTCCTTCTGTGCCAACATGGTTTAAAAACAAATCAATTTACTTTATGGCTGTCATTACCTGCAACAGTTTTGCTAGTACCACTTGGCTGCGGTAATCGTGAAGATCCTGATGATGCAGTTCCAGGAGAATTTGACTTTTTAAGTGCAGGTGGCTTATACTAAAATAAGGAAAAAAAATTTTTTTGGTCAGCATCACTTTTTGATTATGAATTGTAAAGTAGTGGTTCAAAAGTTAAGATTCTTTGGGTTTAGAATTTCAGTCTTACAAGATGAAAAGAATTATGGAGATGAATCGTGATGATGGTTGTACATCATTAATGTATTAATACACTTGTAAGTATATACTGAATTATATACTTAAAAATGGCAAAGATGGTAAAGTTTATGTTACATGTATTATACCACACTAAAAAAAAAAAAAAAAATTGGAAAGAAACAGCTCTCATTCCCTTAAATGAACAGTCTTTTTATTAGTTACTGAATTATACAAATTGAGGAAGTAGAGATTAAAATATGTCACCTCAAAGGTTTTTCAAAACAGACTCCCTCTCAGATATTCTACTGCTAAAACAAACTAAGAGTAAAATTTCCAGTTCACAGGAGATAGAAAAAAAGGTTTAATGGAAAATACTTCCTCAAGTTAAGATTTTAAACACCAAACAAACATTAGTAGAAAACCTTAGAAACACTAGTGAAGCTCACTTGATGGTGCAGCTTTAAAGGTCAAGATTTTTACATGTTCCTGGATGTGGTTTTATATTCCATATATATAATTCAGCCATATTTCCTATTGATAAAAATTCATAATATTACCCTCTACTTGGTCAAGTTTTATAAGAGCTGCCTTATGGATTTCCCCAACATGAAGAAAAAGAGCTAATTATGGCCCCTCTATTCTCACCAGACCATCTTAAATTAATGGAGTATGGATTGACATAAGATTGGATATTTCAGCTTATCTTGGATTTTTACATTTCTCTACTCTTCTAAAGAGACATCACTATTAATTTTATTTTCTCTTTTTGAGTCAAATTTTGCTCATTTCCCTGTATAAAAGTATCTTATTGATCACCTGCTTAAACAGAACGAAATGAACTTGCCTAGAGTTAGGCCCCAATTTCACAGTAGAGCAGGAATTTAACACTCATGCTGGTTCTAGCCCAGTGCTTCAACCATAAGGTGAAAATCATACTTGCATATGTGCTTGGAATTTAGCACAATAAGGTATCAAGATTTCATGTGAAAATTAATTTTAAATATCATTTTCAAAATGCAAATCATATTTTATAACCAATAATCAATATAAAATTTAAGATGCACTACTACCAAAAATAGCAGACTAAAACCAATTTTGAAATCAAACATTATAACTAACTCAGTATGTGAATTAAAAAAAAATTAAATCTTGATAAAGGGTCACACACAAAAAAGTAGCATGCATATTTTGCACAACTATACCAGCACCTGCAAAATAGAAAATCAAAACCTTTGGTAAATGTCTTTCAAATTAACAAATATCTATGAGACTTCAGGAGATGAACCATATAATGATACTCATTTTTTAAAACATTAGAGATGCTCCTGGTTTAAAAAGGCATCTGGGCCACTAAAAATAAATAAATAAAGACATTTTAAAAGACTTAAAATTATAGCAACAGGGAAAATAAGATCTAACAAAGTTTGTCAAACTATCAGAGGTATGTATAAAAAAACACAATTAATAAGATTAGATTAGGAAACAGGACTGCTGATCCACTAAAATTATGCAAGTAATCAAAAAGGGGCAAAAGGATTAGCATAAACAAAGTATGCTGATGTGGCCTATTACACACTGAGAGGTCAAGTCTTCAGGCAGGACATAGGCAGAAGGGTTCCTGGTGGCATTACATACTGAAGACTAAAGATTTTTATATGCCTAATAGAAATTAACAATTTAATGGCTTACAAATACTTAGGTATTACATTTCTCTAAAACTGAATAAATCAGTGCCTCACCACCATAATGAGCATAATTCTCAATCTGCAAAAGTTAAATAAATGAAGACTAGTTATCTTTCTTAAGGAAATTCTTTAAAACTTATTACTACCCTCTTTTCCAGAAAGAAAAGGCAAGTTCAGACTTGCAGCTTAATACATTTTATGTTCTACTACTTCTCTTAAGTGGTGGAAGATTCACTGGCTTGGGATGAACTGGAATGGCTTAAATGGTTAAGTTGCATGGCTTACGGATTATCATTCTGTTTCAATGGTGCACTGTCACATTAAATCCTTTAGTTAAACCAACAAAACTTATTTGAAGGAATAAGTGCAATATAAAGATTTTTAGTTGGAGGGCTTCAAGTTTACTATATTCAAAAGCATCTTTTTCAACTTCATGGCTGGACCTGGGTCATGCTGCCTCAGGTTTTGCTTTTTAAAGACCACTTGCAAAAGATTTTCTCCATACAGTGTAGTTTCATAGACTAAAAATAAGTCAGGCATCCAACCAAATGTCAAGTTTACAATGGTTTACAGAGGAAAAAGAGGGAACACAAACTTAAGCCATTTCCTATGCTGACTAAAGGACTGATTTGAAAAAAAAAATGTTAAAACATATGAAACATGTTTAAAGGTCTTCATCAAAAATGGACTTTGAAAAAATACCCTCTCCCAAGCCCCAGATCTCTACTGGTAAATAACAGCTCTATTATTAAAGGCTTTAGGTGTCGCACATGCTTAAAAAAAAAAAAAATCCAAGTGTTGAATTTGGAGGACTTCTAATATGCTGTTGAATATTTGTTTTTTCCAAAAGTTGTTGTTGTTTTTTTTTTTTTTTGGTTTTTTTTTTAAATCTAGAAGGCATTTCCATTGCTATGAGGTACAGTATGTTTCATTGTACTATGAGGAAGGAAGTGTTCAATTTCTATTTAGATGGAAAAACTAGTTTGCTTTGCTTACCATCTTCGCTGTTTCACAGGCATTTGATGCTTTAAATCTGACGAATGCTGATAGATTTACTTTTAGTATGTCATAAGCCTTTAGTAAGTTGGAGATAACTTCATTGCTTACCTATTTTCTTCTTTGCAATCAAGCTATTCCTTTGAAACTGAGACACTACTGAGTTGCAAACAGTAAGAACGAGCACCTTTGCACCTTGTTTTTGGCCAACTTTTTATTTAGTATTCTGTAGTTGTTTAACACACACTTAAATGGTCCTATTGGGAGAGGGGAATAGGGATTCTTTCTTGCCGACTCCCAAGAAAATGTCAGAAAGGCAGAATGACCAGCATTATCCATTTGCTTTTTTGAGTTTACAGGGTGAATTGCACTTTCCTTACACAGGCATCTGATTTCAGGTTTCTCATAATGAGAACACTGATATTTCAGCTGGAAGATACCCTGAAATTTTATGAGTAGCATATCCCAACCCCCATCTAATAGCTAGTTTGTTTGTATAGGCAGAATGATTCATCTCTCTATTTTAGGTGGCTAGATGTTTTATGGAAGATCTTGGAATCGCTTGTCTCATTTACTGGGAAAAATCAGATAGGAAGTGGCCTTTAGGGACACTTTTACTTGGAAAGTTACAACCCTAGTACAAGAAGTCTCAACACATTTAACATTTGCTTGTTGAAAAGCAATGTCATAAAGCCAAATAAAATTAAACACGTTTTACTTTTTTCCTCACAAGAACATAAAAATTACAGAGGGGAACTTATTTTAAAAAGGTAACACAGGCCAGGTGAGGTGGCTCACACCTGTAATCCTAGCCCTTTGATCACGAGGCAGGTGGATCACGAAGTCAGGAGTTCAATACCAGTCTGGGCAAGATGATGAAACCCCATCTCTAGCAAAAATGCAAAAAAATTAGCCGGGCGTGGTGACGGGCACCTGTAATCCCAGTTGCTTGGGTGGCTGAGGCAGGAGAATAGCTTGAAACCATAAGGTCGAGGTTGCAGTAAGCTGAGATTGCACCACTGCATTCCAGCCTGGGTGACAGAGCGAGACTGTGTCCAAAAAAAAAGGTAACACAATTTATCCTTTTAGTAGTCCTTGGGTAGTTATGACAGAATAGTTTAAACTTTTTGTTTCTTTGAACTGGGATTTGGTCCAAAGTTATGTTTGTTTCTAGTAACTGTTTCTGCCTCCTCCTCTATCAGATTGGCTTCCTCCAGGGCCACCACCTCTTGGTGATCCATGGCTTGAACTACTGTAGGAATCTTGGGGAGGAGGGTACCCCCTTTTTCACAGAAGAGGGAAGCCCTCTTTTTCTTGTGTGTCAACCCAACCATGACCATTTGAGTAGAGATAACTTCAGCTGCTTAAGTGTCTTGACTTCTACCATACATGTCACGTGAGCTGCTGAAATCATCATAGTGACTCCTTCCACCATAAGATGGCATGGGTCTTCCTATTGGGGGTTGAATTACCATAATTCTCATGTGAATCTCTCTAGGAACCTCCACTTGGATGATCTGAATAGTCATGATAATGACCATATCCATCTCTATCTCTATAGTCTCTTGATGGCTAGTCACCGTGTAAACTGGAATGACCATAATCACAGTAAGTATAATCTCGTGGTGGTAGTACATAATCTGTTGTATCAGGAGAACTTGGGTAACCTCTGCTTGAATAGCTTTCTATAGTAGAATACCCATCATCTCTTGGGGACAAATAAACATCTCTACGAGAAGGCAGCGGTTCCCTTCAAGATGGACCTCTGTAACTATCTCTTCCACACGATACAGGAGCTTTTCCTCCCATTCCACCACTGCTGTGAACTGGTCCTGAAGGTGCAGATCTCTTAGGAGGAGGACCTCTACTTCTTGGTGGTGGTCCTCTTTTTACTGGGAGTGGTCCCCTGGAAGAACTCTTATTAAAATTCATGGAATTGCCACTGTCATCCATGTGTCCTCCCCCATGTCGGAGGTCCTGTGGTTCCTCCACTTCCACTTCTAAGACCTTGGACGGCCTCTACTTTTTGGAGGTAGAGGCAATCCACTTCTACCACTTTCAAATGATGGTTTGGTGGCTTGTTCCATCTTGATGGCTTTTCCATCTAATGACTTTACATTCATGTCTCTGGCTGCATCCTTAGCGCCTTCTGGGTTTTCAAAAGTGATAAAAGCAAATCCTCTTCATTTGTTGGTTTTACGGTCTTTCATCAAGAGTATTTTACTATTCATTTATATTAGCCAAATATTGCTTCAAGAGCTTTCTCATTTGTTTCCATATTAAGCCCACCAATGAAGCGCTTTCCTGGGTGATGCGCTTCAACCATCTTTTTTTTTTTTTTGCTAGTGAGTTGGAGGAGTGATAATGAGTTCAAGCTCCAACGAGCTGACCAATAGGGCTTGCTAGTAGCTCAGCACCAGTGGCAACTGCCAGGTCCGAGGACCGAACCACAAAGCCACTAGCACTACTGAGAAACGAGCAGCAATGAATTTTTTACAAAAAGAGAAAACAGATTACAGACCTAAACATAACCAAATCAATAACCGTATCAAATGTAAGTGACAAGCATTTCAACTGACAAGATTACGTTACCACATTCAATTTTAAAAAAAGAAATACAAGAACCAATTATAGCAATGCAAAAAACACAAATGTAAAAGAACAGAAAGAAAAGAAGGGAGCATAAATATGCTAAAATGGCTATATTCTTATCACATGAAATTGCAACATGAAGAATACTGCCACAGACAAAAAGGAACACTTCATAATGATAAAAGGGTCAATATATGGGGAAGACATAACAACTCATAAACACATATGCAAACAGTAAGAGAAATTCAAAATTTTGAATCAAAAGCTGGCAAAACTAAAGAGAAATGTAAAAAAGTCATAATTTTAACATATTTCCCTCAGTAACTGATGGAACATCATACACAATGGTAAAAAACAATGCTTTTCACCTAAGAACAGAAAAACAAGGCAAGGAGGTCCACTCTCATCACCTCTATTCAACATTAGTCTAGCCTGTGTAGTAAATCACACACACACAAAAATAAAAGCCAAAAATGTTGGAGGGAAGAAAATAAAACTGTCCTGATTTACAGTTAAAGTGACGGTATATGTAGAAAAGTCCTAAGAAATCTACAAGAAGGCTATTATTAGTAAATGAATTTAACAAAATAGCAAGGTACAAAATTAATATACAAAAATCCTCAGTTTTTCTAAACAAGCAAAAAACAACTAAAAATGAAATAAAATAAAATTCCATTTATAAGATCATTCAAATACATGATATACTTAGAAAAATCTAACAAAATATGTGTACGACCTATATAATGTAAACTACAAAACACTGATAAAGAAAACCTAAATGATCAGAATATATAACAAGTTCAAGTGAACAATTCAATATTGTTACAATGTTAATTCTCCCCAAATTGATTTATGAATTTAATATAATCTTAGTCAAAGGCCAGGCTTGGTGGCTCACACCTATAATCCCAGCACTTTGGGAGGCTGAGAAGGGGGAATCACAAGGTCAGGAGTTCAAGACCAGCCTGGCCAAAATAGTGAAACCCTGTCTCTAATAAAAATACAAAAACTTAGCTGCACATTGTGGCACGTGCCTGCAATCCCAGCTACTCGGGAGGCTGAGGCAGAAGAATCACTTGAACCCAGGAAGTGGAGGTTGCAGTGGGCTGAGATCACACAAGTCCAGGCGACAGAGTGAGAAGAGTCTCATTCTTGTCTCATAAATAAAAAAATAGCTCAGTCAAATACTAGAAGTCATTTTTTGTAGATGACAAGTCAATTATAAAACATATATGTAAATGTAAATCAAGAACAGCCAAAGCAAATTTTAAAAGGAATTCAAGTAGAAAAATTTAGACAACTTGATTTTAAGACTTATTAAGGTACGCTATTCAGTACACTGATAATGCAGTATTGACTGAAGGACAGGGATATAAATCAATGGAACAGAATATCATGTCCTGAAATAAATCCACACATTTTTATTCAACTGATTTTCATCCAAGATGCCTAGGCAATTCATTGGGGAAAGAAAAGTCCTTTAAATAAATCACACTAAAAGAATAGAATATATACATAGACAACAAAAGGAAAACTGCCCCTTACTTTACATATACACAAATATTAGCCTGAAATGATTTACAGACATAAGAGCTAAAAGCATAAGACTTCTAGAAGACATGGCAGAAAAATCTTTGCAATCCTTGTATAGGCAAAGATTTCTTTGATACAACATAGGGAACATAAATCATAAAGAATTAATAAATTGGACTTAATCAAATTTTAAAACTTTTGCTTTTCAAAAGACACCCTTAAGAAAATGAAAAGCCAAGTCACAGAATGGGAGAAAATATTCTTAATATATATCAGAGAAAAGACCAAGAATATAATCTAAAAACATTATACACACACACACACACACACACACAAAGTGTTTTATATATATATATCAGGTGAGAAAAAGTCTAATGTCATGAAAAGCATAAACAAAATTCTATTAAATATCAATGAGCCAGTTTCTTATTCATAGCAATTATTAAAACTGAGCTTATCACCTGTGTCCGAGACATTGGTTTTCCTTTGGTATCTGTAGAATATTTGCCTTTATTACTAATACGTGCTGCCTGTTCTTTACAGAAATTTATATGTCTATCAGCTGCATTTTCATTAAATCTCCTCTGACAATATGGACACTGAATATAATCTATAACAGATAAAAACAGAAACAGATTAATAGCATAGTACTTGAAACAGACATTAAAAAATCGTAAGTTTTTATGCAGTCATTCAAGAAATATAAGCAATAACGTCTGATAAGCAAAAACTCCCATATCCTTGTAACTACCTAGCTTGACTTGTCTAAACTTAGCAAAGAAAAAAAAAAGTCTGCTAGTACATGATGAATCCCAATTTTTTTTCCTAGCTTTGAATCAAATTTGTGAAGGAAAAAGAACAAAAGATAAATCCTTAGTACAAAAGAATAACAGAAAAAAAATGTTACTTCTTTTTGCCTCTATGTTTTCATTTATAAAAGATATTTTATGTAGCAGACTAGTTAGAAAGTAATAACACATGACATTAAAATACATTTTAAGGGTTGGGCACGGTGGCTCAAGCCTGTAATCCCAGCACTTTGGGAGGCCGAGGCGGGTGGATCACAAGATTAAGAATCGAGACCATCCTGGTCAACACAGTGAAACCCCGTCTCTACTAAAAATACAAAAAATTAGCTGGGCATGGTGGCGTGTGCCTGTAATCCCAGCTATTCAGGAGGCTGAGGCAGGAGAATTGCCTGAACCCAGGAGGCAGAGGTTGCGGTGAGCCGAGATCGCACCATTGCACTCCAGCCTGGGTAACAAGAGCGAAATTCCGTCTCAAAAAAAATAATATATATATATATATATTTTAAAATATGAGCTTATCTATTAAAATTTTTTATTTCATCTAATGGAAAACTCTCAAGAAATAGTTTACTCATCTTTAAAGTGGCATTTTCTCTTCAAAGTCCCAACAGATGGAAGAAGTGATTAAAATATATCTAACTGACATCATTCAAATTTAAGAAACAGCAAATGTTTCCAAGATAAAATATCTTCCCAAAATGTAAAGCATACTGTAAATTAAACTTCTTTCTAAATTAACCCAGAACCATATATTGTAGCATTGTAAAATAAGTAAATGAGACACTGGGAATAAATGTAAAAATTTAGTAGTATCAAAAAATAATCTTAATTTATTTTAACCGGTTTACTTTTTGACAGAGAGTTTGCTCTTTAGAATTTACATTCATCTGCAGCTCAGAAATTTGTTGTGCTTACTGCTGGAGTAGGTCTAAAACCTCTAATAACAATGAAATAAGTTGTTTTTGTCAGGTCCACGAGATTAAAAAAAACTTCTACAGCCCAACTGATCCTGAAGAACTGGTACCCTCTCGCTCTCTGACATGAGAAATGAGAAATATTAGACATGAGAAATGCCGCTATATAGAGTACGACACAATATCTAAATACCTCCAAAGCAGAGAGAAAACTAAAGTTGGTAAAGAAAATAAAGGTAGTATTAAAAAAGACCCAGGATCAGTTGAAGAATCTCAGAAACATTCACTCATATAAGTTAATTACTAAAACTCTAGAACAGGGTTTTGAAAAGTATGACCCATGAGCCAAATCCAGCCTGCCAGTTGCCTCTCTTTGTAAATGTAGTTTCATGGAAACACAGCCATATTCATTCATTTATATATTGTCTATGGCTTATTTGTTGCAACAGAAACCTATGGCATACAAAACCTAAGATACTTACTATCCAGTCCTTTATAGAAAGTTTGCTAATCTCTCTTCTATAATAAAATGCCAAAAATGATCATATCTAGATTTGCTAAAGAACTTTCTATTTGCTAAAAAATAAATCCCAATCTAGAGTACTAACATAATATTAATGTGGCTAACCTGTTAAATTAACAACCTCTTTAGGCTGCTCTAATAACAAATGTCAAAAGTGTCAACTCTGTCACCTTAAGTCTTTATGTATCTCAGTATCTCATACAGGGTTGCAAAAATCTTGCTTTGCTTTTGGTAACAATGAATCAAGCAACTTTTATCTGCTCAATAAAAAAAAAATTAACAACATACAAATTTCAGGCACAAATGTAGTCTAGCCACATGAATTATACATTTTAGAAAAATTATAAGTTTTTCACCAATCCCACAATGAGAAGATATCAAGGAACCAGGCAACATAATTATATGACTCCTATTCAATGACTACATTTCAATCTGCAGTGAGCATGGCTAAAATATTTCCTGGAGTGCTCACATTTAATAGTTACTATAATATTTTTTAAATATTATAATGCCTTGTATTTAAAAAAAGTATTAAAATAAAAACACAATACACTTCTATGTTCCAAATTAATGTCCTTATAAGCCTACATGCCTAGATTACCACCACTGTTTTATACCAAAACATTTAAAAATTATACTTTATGAGACTCCATGATTGTAAGTTAAGCTTAACAAGTTAAAATTTATAAAAACTCTATCATTATCTTATTTCCATATGAACATTTCGGTCAACAATATTCCATATACCAGGATCATAAGAAGGTGGAGGAGGGGGAGGAAGTTTGCCACCCTCTTTGAGGGCCTGATCAAGGCCTTTAGCTGCTCTTATGGTGGCAATGAATTCTTCATGTTTTCTTCTCCAATTAGATGGTTTCTTTGGTGGTTCTGGCTATAAGTAAATCAAGAAACAGTATCTTTTTAGTATATTGAAATAAAAAATCAGAAAATGCCATATCATTTTAAATGTTCTCATATCAGGAGTCCTTAAATGATATCCTTCCCAAATTTATAATTTTAAAAGAAACTTTATGCAACTGCATTGCAATTTTATATTCAATTTCTTAATGTAATTCTCACTGCAAAAGACACTGCTAAAGTGGCTTCTGTAGGTGTTACATCTATTTATTCTCCAACTAATACTGTTGCTGTGGTTGAATGTTCCCTCCAAAACTCATGTTAAAATATAATTGCTATTATAACAGTAGTATGAGGTGGGACATGTGAAAGGTGATTAAGTCATTATGGCTCCACCCTCATGATGGATTAATGGCATTATCCCAGTAGTAGATTAGTTATTGTGGGAGTGGGCTCCTGATAAAAGAGTAAGTTTGGCTCCCATTTTCTCTGTCTCACATGCATGCCTGCTCTCATGAGATTATATAGTAAGAAGGCCCTCACCAGATGCCAGCACTATGGTCCTGGACTTCCCAGCCTCCAGAACTGTGAGAAATACATTTCTTTTCTTTATAAATTACCCAGTTTGTGGTCTCCTATTATAGCAGCAGAAAAGAGACTAAGACAGTGTATTTCCCTGTTTTCCCACAGATCCTTCAACAGAGTATATTATCTATTATTTGGGATTTGAACTGATTAGAAATATGAAAAATAGTCCTCACTCTGTGGATTTAATTGGATTTTCTCTTATAATGATTGAGAGTGAGCACCTTTTTACATTGTTAAGAACCATTTAATATATTGCTTTTTCTGAGGACTGTTTATATTCCTGGTCAACTTGTTGAGTTATTGGCTTTTTATGCAAAAATTTCTACTTTTATTTTTTTTATAGGAAACTATTCCCTCCCTCCCACCAACAAGCTGTCTTTTGACCTTGTTTATGGGTCATCTTGTAATATGAATAATTATTTTTTAATTACAGTTTAATTTACTGATCTTTTATGGTCTCTGGATCTGCATTAGCCAGGCCCAACCTCATACCAAGGAAAAATAAATTTTTCCCATGTTTACTTCTACAACTTTCACTGTCAATTAAAATTTTTAAAATATTTTATGCATGTGGAATTTATTCTGTTGTATGGAGTAGCAAACTGAATCAAATTTTCCTTTTTTTTTTAACATGGCTATGCAGTTGTCCTATACTTCGATTCACCCCACCCCCACCCCCAACAGAATTGAAATAATGACTTTATCATATACTAAATTCCCTTCTGAATTTGGGCCTATTACTGAACTTTCTCTTCTGTTCCATGGTTCTGATAATCCTGTGTTAGCACCAGTATTTTCAATACTGAGACCTTTATATTTTAATACCTGATAGGGTAATCCAATTTTATTAAGCTTTTTCAATCTTTTTCTAGTTATTCATGTATATAATTTTTTCCATATAACATTTTGAATCAATTTGTAAAATTTTTAAAAATTAAGAATCACATTTATAAACAACCTGACAAACTTAAAATTTTTTAGTAGGTTGAGTCTACCTCTACAAAAACATGAGATATATTTTCATTTGAAAAAGAGTCCATTTGCATCTTTCAGCAGTATTCTTTTTTCTTTGTGGAAGTCTTGTATCTTTATTATAAAGTTTATTCCTAAATATTTCATATTTTATATTGTTCTTCTACAGAAGGTCCTTTCCTCATTGTTGCCTCAAGAGCCTGTCTGTTGAGTAGATGAAGTGTAGCAATTTTTGCATAGCAATCTTACAGCATTACTTCCTTTTATTCCTATTGTTTTTAGTAATTTCTCACTTCATTCTCTTGAGTTTTCCAGGTATATCTTATCTTCTAATAACAATGGTTTTACTTAGTCATTTCAAATATCTATTGATATAGTTTGGCAGTGTCCCCACCTAAATCTCATCTTGAATTGTAGCTCCTGTAATATCTACATGTTGTGCAAGGTACTCGGTGGGAGGTAATTGAATCCTGGAGGCAGGTATTTCCCAAGCTGTTCTCATGACAGTGAGTAAGTCTCATGAGATCTGATGGTTTTACAAAGGGCAGTTCCCCTGCACACACACACTCTTGCCTGCCGTCATGTAAGACATTCCTCTGATCCTATTTTACTATCCACCATGATTGTGAAGCCTCCCAAGCCATGTGAAACTGTGAGCCCATTAAACCTCTTTTTCTTTATAAATTGCCCAGTCACAGGTATTTCTTCATAGCAGTATGAAAATTGACTTAAAAAATACAGTAAATTGGTACTGGTATGGGGTACTGCTATAAAAATAACCAGAAATGTAGAAGTGACTTTGGAACTGGTTAACAAGCAGAGGTTGAAACAGTTTGGAGGGCTCAGAAGAAGACAGAAAAATGTGGGAAAATTTGGAACTTCCTGGAAACTTGTTGAATGACTTTGACAAAAATGCCAGTAGTGATACGACAATAAAGTCCAGGCTAAGGTGGTCTTAGATGGAAATAAAGAATTTCTTGGGAACGAAGGTGACTCTTGTTATGCTTTAGCAAAGAAACTAGCAGCATTTTGCTCTTGCCATAGATATCTGTGGCTTTGAACTTGAGAGATGATTTAGGTTATCTGGTGGAAGAAGTTTCTGGGAAGCAAAGTATTCAAGAGGAAGCAGAATACACAAGTTTGGAACATTTTTGGCCTGATGTAATATAAAAGAAAAAGCCATTTTTTGGGGAAAAAATTCAAGCCTGCTGCAGAAATTTGCATAAGTAACAGGGAATAGAATGCTAATCACCAAAAAAATGAGAAAAATGTCTCCAGGGCATATCAGAGAGCTTCATGGCAGCCCCTCCCATCACAGGTGCCAAGGCCTAGGAAGGAAAAATGGTTTTTTGGGCCAGGTCCACGGTCCCCTGCTGTGTACAGCCTAGGGACTTGGAGTCCAGCATCCCAGCTGCTTCAGGAGTGCCTAAAAGGGACCAATGTACAAGCTGGGCCATGGCTTCAGAGGTGCAAGCCCCAAGCCTTGGCAGCTCCCACATGGTGTTGAGCCTGCAGGTGCACAGAAGTCAAGAGTTGAGGTTTGGGAACCTCTGCCTAGATATCAGAAGATGTATGGAAACATCTGGATGTCCAGGAAAAAGTTTGCTGCAGGGGTGGGGCCCTCATGGAGAACCTCTACTAGGGCACTGGAGAAGAAAAATGTGGGACTGGAGTCCCCAAACAGAGGCCCTCATTCAGGAACTGCCTAGTGGAGCTGTGAGAAGAGGGCCACCAACCTCCAGATCCCAGAATGGTAGATCCATTGACAGCTTGTACTGTGTACCTGGAAAAGCTTCAGACACTCAATGTCAGCCCAAGAAAGCAGCTGCAGGGAGAGGGCTGTATCCTGAAAAAGCCACAGGGGCAGAGCTGCCCAAGGCCATGCGAGCCCACCTTTTGCACCAGCATGACCTGGATGTGAGACATGGAGTCAAAGGGAATCTTTAAGGTTTAATGACTGCCCTATTGGATTTCAGACTTTCATGGAGCCTGTAGCCCCTTTGTTTTGGCCAATTCCTCCCATTTAGAATGAATGTATTCACCCAATGCCTGTATCCCTATTGTATCCAAGAAGTAACTAACTTGCTTTTGATTTTAGAGGCTCATAAGCAAAAGGGACCTGCCCTGTTTCAGATGAGACTTTGGACTGTGGACTTTAGAGTTAATGCTGAAATGAGTTAAGACTTTAGGGGACTGCTGGGAAGGCATAATTGGTTTCGAAATGTGAGGACATGAAATTTGGAAGTAGCCAGGGACAGAATGATATGGTTTGGCTGTGTCCCCATACGAATCTCACCTTGAATTGTAGTTCTAATAATCCCCATATGTGGGAGGGACCCGTTGGTAGGTAACTGAACATGAGGGCAGGTTTTTCCTGTGCTCTTCTCATGATAGTGAGTAAGTCTTGCAAAATCTGATAGTTTTTATTTAAAAAGGGCAGTTCCCCTGCACACATGCTCTTGTCTTTCACCACATAAGATGTGCATTTGTTGCCTCTTCACCTTCCACCATGATGTGAAGATTCCCCAGCCACATGGAACTACAAGTCCATTAAACCTCTTTTTCTTTATAAATTATCTAGTCTCTGGTATTTCTTAATAGCAGAAGGAAAATGGACTAATACATCTATGCATCTAATTTCTTCTTGTTATCTAACTGTATCAGCTGGCACTTACTATACTGGTTACAGTTTAGCCTTCTCCTTGATTTTAATGGGACTGCCTCCAGTGTCTTTCCACTATACATGATGCTGGCTCACATGCTACAGAGATTTATTTTGTAATAGTATTGAGATACTCTACCATTCCTATTATGTCTGTATTTTTAAAATAAAGAATTATGTGTTAAATCCACAAAGTCAAAAGATGGTACTTGAAAAGATGGCTGGGTGTGGTGGCTCATGCCTATAATCCCAAGACTTTGGGAGGTGAAAACAGAAGAATCACCTGTGGCCAGGAGTTCACGACCAGCCTGGTCAACATAGTGAGATCCCTGTCTCTAAAAAAAAAAAAAAAAAAAAAAAAAAGGAGAAAAGAGGAAAAGAGAACACAAATTATGAAGGAATGAAAAATACGTAAATATGAGACAGAAAAGAAGATATTATAAAGAAATTTTATGCCCATAAATTTGGTAAGACAAAATGGGTAATGTCCTTAGAAAACACAACAGATACCAGAATATAAATTCATAATAGCCATATTTATTTTAAAAAATATTTTCCTTCCCACAAAGAAACCTCCTGGCTCAGCTACTTAACTTTTAATTTTTATAGACATATAAGGAAAAACTAACATCAATATTACACAAACTCTTTCAGAGAACAGAAAACAAAGAAACAACTTTCCAAATAGTGTTTGGAGAGCAGCAATAACTTTGACAAAAGGAATTACAGATCTACTTCTCTCACGAATATAGATGCAGACATCTTAAATGTCAGCAAATTTAGATGTTTGAGATTATTGTTTAAAGTTTCTTATTTTACAGCAAAATATCTGATCACCACATTCATCTGCTCCACAATGATTATTAATCATCTACTAATAAGTTTTGCTGTTCTTTTCCAACTTTATTCTCATGGTATCTTTTATCAATGCTGAGTTAATAAATTTTCTATTATGCATCACTTCCATTATTCATTTCTACTATTCAGCATGAGTTTCCTGGTACAGCTATTTGCAAGAATTTTTAGGGAGAACAGGCTCAGGGTAGCTATACAAACCAGCAGCTCTCCTCTCTGTTGCAACAGATAGACTAGTTCCTGTAAATAAGGCTTCTCGGTGTGATTATATCCTGCTTCCCTCAGATCCTGTGGGAATCACTTCAAAAAAAGGACATGGCCTTTTAGGTTAGGCTCCTCATCTTCAGAAAAGGCATTTTCATTAGCGTTTTCTAAGTGCCTCTGCCGCTAGGCCTCCTCAACTATCTGTTCCTACTCCCACCATTCTCTCCTTCCTGGCTTTTGTACAATTTCAGCCTTGCTCATTCCAGCTGGTAGCCATCCAAATTCCTACAGTTCCTCCCAGTTTCTGCCTTTGCTGTACTAAACAAGAGATAAATACACTGTCTGATAAGATCTCTCACCTTTAATGAATCACTTTTAAGATGAGAAAACTCCTCACCTTTAAGGTAGATTTCCAGAATCCAGCCACAGGTCCCCAAGCAATTTCGTGTACCTCCTCTTACGGGTAACTTCTCCTGGATTTCAACTGCTTTGGACAGTCCTTATGGGTAATCTGTGAATTATGCCTACCTTTTGTTTTTCCAAAAATGAAGTTTGTAGTCGCTTTGCCCCACTCTGCTAATGAGTTTCTAGGATTTTCTTGATACAGGTAAATATATTAAGAGCTACACTTAACAGCAATCAAATCTTCTAAGATACTGCTTCTCAAACTTTAATGTGCATATGACTCACCCAAGATTTCTTAAAATGATTCTAATTCAGTACCTTTGGGAGAAAACTGAGAATTTGCATGTCTAACAAGTTCCCAAGTACTGTTGATATTACTGCTCTATGGGCCATAATTTTAGGTACCAAGGCAATAAACCACTTAATACAAAGTCATGGTTTTTACTTTGCTTTTTTCTAGAATTCAGTTTTTAAGTTTACAACCCCAATTCCTTATAAAAGAAATAGGATGACTAACATTCATTGAAATCGCCATGGATAATCTTATGTAATCCCTACAATTATCATACATGATAAAGATAAATACTACTACGATCACCAGCTTACAGTGAACAGAAGCATAATTACATTAACTAACTTGCCCAGAATAGCATGGTGTGTAGCAAAGTGAAAGTTAAATTCAGACAGTCTGACTCTTGAGCCAAGTTTGACATCCACTATATTATACTGCCTCCAAAGATTTGGCAATTTTATCTACTAAAGGAAATTAAAGCTAATATAGGTAGCAGATAACTAAGAAAAACTTCACATATTGACTTATGTACCTTATTTAAACTTCATTACCCTTACTTTAAATGTTCACAGTAAAAAACAAAAATGAACATCAAATTTTTCTATCATCAAATGATTTTATTAATAAGATTAATTTCCCCATAGGAAAATGCTCTTATACCACTGGAAGAAGTTATTACCATTAACAGCAGGATTTTGTTTCAAAAACCTATGCAATCAGGTACTTAGCTTAGACCACTTCAATGAAATGATGCCTAACAACTATGCTGAATAAAGTATTTATGTAATTTATTCTTAGCAATACACAGTCGGCCCTTACTACCCATGGGTTCCACATTTGTGGCTTGTGCATCCATGGATTCAACCATGAATCAAAAACATTCAAGAAGAGAAAAATAAAAAATAACCACAGAACAATAAAAAGTAATATAAAGACATAATTCAACAACTATTTACATAGCATTAAATTATAAGTAATCTAGACATAATTTAAAGTATATGGGAGGATGTGCATAAGTTACATGCAAATACTATGCCATAAGGAATTTGAGTATTCAGATACCGGTAATCAGAGGCTGGTCCTGGAACCAATCTCCTACAGATACCAAGGGATTACTATAATATATAACAGATATTAAGGAGAGATTATCACAATAGTTTCATAGCTTTGGTTTCAAGAAAGAAAATAAGCTGACAATAACTATATGTGGACACTGAACAACTGATAAAACATTTCCTTAGAAACATAATATAGATTACAAATCCTGCCAGTCAATAAGTCAAGATAAGCAGCATCTATTACGCTAAAATGTCTATAAATAATTGCTTAACTTTCTGCATTAGAGATTATCATAATGGTAGAAGATAGTAATAAGTCAAAACTTAAGTTATATCTAAAGTTTTAAATAATAAAAAGAACGTGTGGCAGCAATTGGCTCTCCAGTGCTATAAAAATCTCACTGTAGGCAGGCATGGTGGCTCATGCTGTTAATCCCAGCACTTTGGAAGGCCGAGGTGGGTAGCTCACAAGTTCAGAAGTTCAAGACCAGCTGGCCAAGATGGTGAAACCCCATCTCTACTATAAATACAAAAATTAGCCGGGCACAGTGGCAGGTGCCTGTAATCCTAGCTACTCAGGAGGTTGAGGCACGAGAATTGCTTGAACCTGGGCAGCAGAGGTTGCAGTGAGCCGAGATCATGCCACTGCACGCCAGCCTGGGAAATAGAGTGAGACTCCCTCTCAAAAAAAAAAAAACAACAAAACTCACTGTAATTGATGGAGACAGCACCTTGGTCTCTCCTTTGAAGAGTTTAAAAGTTTATTTAAAATAAAATTTGTTTTATAAGCTTCTGATAATTTCTCAGCTGAACATGTAACACAGAATTGTATTTATTCTTTAATCTTAATGTAGCAGATAATTGTGTTTATTCTTAGTCTTAATGTAACAGATAATTTTAATATTTTTCAACACACATAAGGTTCATACTGTTCAAAAGGTTATATAGTTACCCTCGGTTTGAGAGGTTTTACTGTTGGAATATCCGTTCCTTCAGCTCTCTGTCTGCTTGAATCAAAAGTCTTCCGTTTTTTAGTGGCAGTTTTCTGGCAAATGGGTCCATGCTTTTTCTGTTAAGATGAAGAAACGCAGCCTATCATTTTCTTTTCTACAGAAGGTAAGACTATAGAACTTTATTTATATTGAAACCAATTTAAAACTCTGAGACCGACTGAACAATCTGAATACAAAATAAATAAGATACACCTTGCCTTAACCAAAAGTTAAGTTTTAAAACATATATATAATGCATGCTTTATCTTTCTCACTAAAAGAAATGATAAACACTCTTCTAACATTTTATTATTTAATACTCTTCTCCTAGTTTGTACATGAGAAATGTCAGAAGTATATGAACCAGAGCAACTCCATCTTCAACAGGAGCTGGGTAAAATGAAGCTGAAACCTACAGGGCTGCATTCCTAGACCGTTAAGGCATTCTAAGTCACAGGATAAGATAGAAGGTCAGCACCAAATACAGGTCATAAAGACCCTGGGCAGGCTGCAGTAAAGGAGCTGGCCAAAACCCACCAAAACCAAAATGGTGACAAGAGTGACCTCTAGTCATCTTCACTGCTATACTCCCACCAGCGCCTTGACCATTTATAAATGTCATGGCAACATCAAGAAGTTACCCTATATGGTCTAAAAAAGGAGAGGCATGAATAAATAATCTACCCTTTGTTTAGCATATCAAGAAATAACCATAAAAATACCCAACCAGAAGCACCAGGGGCTGCTCTGTCTATGCAGTAGCCATTCTTTCATTCCTTTACTTTCTTAATAAACTTGCTTTCACTTTGCACTGCCAATGTGCCCTAAATTCTTTCATGCGCAAAATCCAAAAACCCTCTCTTAGGGTCTGGATTGGGACCCCTTTCCTGTAACACATTTCTCTGTCCTGTAACACTAAGAATAAGAAATAGTAGCAAAGTCAAAGACACTACAGTGAAAAAGAAAGAAAAAGTGTTTACTAAATACCTGAGCATAGATACTAGAAAAAGAAAATGAAAAGAATACATTAGTTTTAGGATTACAAAAGTTAACATGAGTAGTAGTTTGGATTCCTAAAGTTAACATAATAGTAATATGCTAACATAAATTTAACACAAAATAATAGGACAGGTGCTCTGATTTGTGTCTTTCCCGCACACTAATCTGGATCTCAAACTTTGCAGCTTTCTTCACCTAGGATTTGTCTTGAGCTATCTAGTGTTCCACTACTCTTACAGGTTTTCTTTTTTTAAAAATAGAGTTGTCAATTCATTCATTCATTCATTCATTCAGTTTAGGGACAATAGAGTGGAAGCTGTCTTAAATGACTTCCAATGAACCAACTGGATAAACAATCTCCCTCCACTATATTAAGCATGATGACTGATGACATTGTTACACTAAACACACTTTTTTCTTTTGTATTTTGATAAACACTGAAGAAGGTAGAACTGTCAAACTTTCTCTGGGGAAAAACAAACCTCAAAACTGGTTTATTTGGTGTCTTGGAGCCTCTTGGGGTTTCAGTACACAATTAGTAATCAACTGCTTTACATGCTTATTTTCAGTTTTCATTTCAACAAACAAGCATTGTAAATACAGCTCTTAAGTATTTAACAGAAAATCAGGATAACAGATGATTATTTAGTGGACTCATATGCCTATGTTCCTCATTGAGTTATGTATGTCAAGTGTATGTGGTGCTGGTTTCCCAACATGATGACTCATGATAACATGTGGTTATTTTAATAACATCATTCAGTTAAATACTACATGAGGGCCAAAAAAGGCTTTTTTTTTAATCTTTTTTTTTTTTTTTTGCCATGAAATTTGGATGAAAACTCTGAAAAATAATGAAGTGCTAAGAAAAAAAATCATTGACTGTGTGAGCAAGATGTTTTTAAAAGGGTACAAAAAAGCCATTACTGTTTAAAAGGTACCTACAATCAGGACATTTTGGATCATTAATTCCTCACTTTGCTTTAAAGAAACAAACTAGAAATAGCAAGAGGATACATAGTAGATTGTGGCAGAACTTTAATGAGCAAATCCATATTCAAAGAAAAATTATGTCTTACATCAAAGTATTAATAAATGTTTATCTATGCTTGAGGTTAAAATACATAAGGTACATAGGCATAATTTTTATTATTCCCTATTTAGTTAGCTGATCTTTATTAAGATTAGTTAAAAGTGCTTTTATTTATATTTACTAAGTAGTTAACATATCTAAAGAAGCATAATAAGTTTTAGGTGTACTTTTATATTGAAAAAAACTTTTACTTTGAAATATTTCAAACATAAATAGGAACTGACAAAAAAGGATAATTAACTCCTATTTACTACTCATCACCCAGCTTCAACAATTACCAACACTTTGGCAATTTTGTTTCATTTATCCCTACTTTTTTCCTGAAGTACTATAAAGCAAATCCCAGATATTACACGATTTTGTATTTGTAAATAATTACTTACTTCTAAGGTACTGTTTTGTGTGATTTTGTTTGTTTTTGGTAACTCTCATAAAACTAGGAATAACTTTAAACTTTAGTAGAAGAGTTCTGAAGACCAAACTCTGAAGAAAAGAAAGAATTCCGGAAGAATGACATAGCTGAAATCAGAACACTTGAACAAAGAATATTACCCATTAACTCTTCAAAAACTATTCCAGCTAAGTTCTTTCCATAAGAATTGACTGGAATTACTGAACAATTACAGATCTGTAAAACTGTAAAGGTACAAAATCAGTCTACTCACTAATGCTACTGGAAAGAATGTTCTTCCACAAATCTTGCAAGGTAACAATTCTCCAACTTGGACAACACTTCCATTCTCTAAAACAGGAAAGAATGTAATAAATAATTTCTGTAGCTTAAAATTATGAAACTTCACATTTTAATGTTTCTCTTAGTTTTACATGTAAATTATTAGTTTTTGTGAAAAATGTTTTACTGCATTTTTAAACAAGCAAGATTATCTATTAAAATGAGCATAATACTTAGTTGTCAGTGGTGAAAAAGGTCAGGATATATATTCATGATTTAAAGATATCCAAACTGGTATTGTTGGAAATATCTAGTTTGCTTGTAATTATTTTAGGCAAATCAATCTGTTGTATTCTCCTAACCTATAGGCTATCTCTATGGTAAATTACTACATTTTAAGAACAAAATTTATCTTTATTTTTTTTTCCAAGGTATGAAGAAACACCATTAGTGATCAGTTCAGTGACTTCCTGAGATGATTTGAAGAATCTAGAATAAAAGGAATCTTGTTCTGTTTATCACCTGACAATAGAAAGTATAATCCTATTAAGATTAAGATCTGCCAGGTGAGGTGGCTCATGCCCATAATCCCAGCACTTTGGGAGGCCAAGGCAGGTGGATCACTTGAGGTCAGGAGTTCGAGACCAGCCTGGCCAACATGGTGAAACCCAGCCTTTGCTAAAAATACAAAAATTAGCCCAGCATGGTGGTGGATGCCTTTAATCCCAGCTACTCAGGAGGGTAAGGCAGAAGAATCAGTTGAATCTGGGTGGTGGAGGTTACAGTGAGCTGATATCGTGCCACTGCAGACCAGCCTGGGCAATAGACTCAGACTCTGTCTCAAAAAACAAAACAAAACAAAACAAAACAAAACAAAACAAACCCCACAAAGATTAAGATCACCTAGTTATACAAACTGTATGTAGTATGTGAATTATTATTTTATACATATAATACTTATATTAAGAGTCAGTGGACTAGTAAATGGAGATATTCTGACCTTTTACAAACAAAATTAAAGAAAGAGGTAGCGTAGCTACAACTTTCACTCAATTATTAATAAAATTAATATAACCATCATGTACCTGGATATAACAAATTTTATTACTAAAAGGATAAAAAAGAAACATTATTTGTGATTCTACATAATTCATTTTATCATTTTCTTTCCAAATATCCAACATAAACTTTTCATACCTGTAATTTCCTAAAAATAATCTTAAACATGTAACATTTTCCCCATATTTTCTGCTAAATATTTTAGATATGTTAAAATTCTTTTATCAAATGAAAGACAAGTAAAAAAAAAACATTTTCCTAGAAGTAACAAACTAATTTTTAAAAGTACAATTATGACTCCATATAGCCTGGTCCAAGACATTTAGTGAGTTCACAGAGAACTAAACAGGCAAATCAAAATAGATATTGGTAAGAATGCATTCAAATACAGTAACAGAAGAACTGTTTCGTTTTCTCATTTTCCTATTACTCCACTGCCCTATTTGACTGGTGGATAGTGACAAACTGTCATTTCAGATGGATGCAATGTTGCATAGTGGCAGTTAAGCAGTAAACACTACAAAAGCAAAGCTAAGATTTGCCTGATTTGTCCTTCTCCAATACCAGGAGGTAAGTTATTTAGGGAGAACAATCTCATTTATCTAAATCACGTAAGTCCACTAACAATCCAGAGTTACTAAATGAAAACCACTAGGTTCATTCAGATAAGAGTGTCTTCAAAATGATGGTCTATATAACGTCACATGCTAACTATTAAACTTGCTTACAGTTTTCATGTATTCCTTTAAATACTAAGCAATGATTTTAAAATTCATCAATACAAAATATTAAAAAGTACCATATATTAAACTTGCTTAAAAGTATATATGAGTATATACTTGTTAAACAGATGACAAAGTAAAATCTTATAAAACTGTTGAGAATAATAAATTCAGCACATGGAAAAACTACATACTAACCATGCACTTAGTAATATTAACGTAAGAAAAGAATAATATAATTATTCCTCTCAGGAAGCTAACATAATCTATATCATTTACTTAATAGATCTAAGAACCAAATCATCGATTTTATACAAAAAATTAAAACAGCAACCAGAATATTACCATATACTAAAATCCAGTTCTTGAAATTAATTTCCACAAGTTATCAAACATGCTTAAAATGTTTTTTAAAAAAATTATTATCAATAAAAGGCATGAAAAGATACAACAGCATTTTAAAAGAATGATACTTTGGGATAATTCAAAAGAAATTATCCCCCCAAAAAATCTTTTTGGAAAAGAATGTCATTACTTCACCCAAAATAAATATATATGTAACATATATATAAATTTATAATATTAGCTGGTCATAGAGCATAGCACTGTAATTCACAAAATATGGCATGTGCATGTGTGCTGATGTCAAGACCTACTGAGGGAACTTCTACCCAGTAACAAGGTAACAATTCTCCAATTTGGACAATGCTTTCATTCTCTAAAACAGCATACCATCTCATACCAGTTAGAATGGCAATCATTAGAAAGTCAGGAAACAACAGATGCTGGTGAGGATGTGGAGATACAGAAATGCTTTTACACTGTTGGTGGAAGTATAAATTAGTTTAACCATTGTGAAAGTCAGTGTGGTGATTCTACAAAGATCTAGAACCAGAAATACTACTTGACCCAGCAATCACATTACTGGTATATACTGAAAGGATTATAAATCATTCTACTATAAAGACACATGCACACAAATGTTTACTGCAGCACTATTTACGATAGCAAAGACTTGGAACCAACTCAAATACCAATCAGTGATAGACTGGATAAAGAAAATGTGGCACATATACACCACGGAAGGTTATGCAGCCACATAAAAGAATGAGTTCATGTCCTTTACAGGGACCCGGATGAAGCTGGAAACCATCATTCTCAGCAAACTAACACAGGAGCAGAAAATCAAACACCGCATGTTCTCACTCATAAGTGGGAGTGAATGAGAATACATCAACACAGGGAGGGTAATAGCACACACCGGGACCTATCATGGGGTAGGGGGCAATAGGAGGGAGAGCATTAGGACAAATATCTAATGCATGCGGGGCTTAAAACCTAGATGACAGGTTGATGGGTCCTGCAAACCACCATGGCACATGTATACTTATGTAACCAAAACTATATGTTCTGCACATGTAACCCAGAACTTAATATAAAATAAAAAAATTAAATAATTTCTAGAGCTTAAATTGTGAAACTACACATTGTAATGTTTTCTCTTAGTTTCATTGGTAAGTTGTCAGTTCTTGTAAAAAAAAATTTCTTACTGCATTCTGAAATAAGCAAAATTATCAACTAAAATGGGCTTAAGGGTTATCAATGGGCAAAAAGACCACAATAAACAAAGAAAAGTCATAATTTAAGGATAACCAAGCTGATTAGTTGGAAATACCTAGTTTTCTTGTAATTATTTTAAGAAAATCAATTTGTCATATTCTCTTGATTTAACGGCTATCACTATGGTAGAATAAATACTAAAGCTTAAAAACAAAATTTATCTTACTAATCTCTAAAGCATAAAGAAATACTGCTGGTAATCAGTTCAGTGACTTGCTGAGTTGATGTGAAAAGTCCAGAGCAAAAAATATCATTTTCTCTTTATCACCAGATATTAGAAAGTATAATGCTATAAGGTAAATTAAGCAAACTGCATGTATTATTTGAATTGTTAATTATTTTATATATGTAATAATTATATTAAGATTAATTTGACCAAAAAATTAAAATATTCTGACCTTATAGACATAACTAAATAATAAAGAAGTGGCTACACCTTTCACTCAATTAAAATTAAAATAATCATCATGTGCTTGAATACAAATTTTATTACTAAAATAATTTTTTAAAAAACCATATTAATGGAACCTTCTACCCAGATCATTATAAATACCTTTGGCCTCAGAGTCAAAAGCCATATTTTGCTCTAATTAAATTCATTAAAAGACATGACAGTTTAGTTGAAAAAGCAGTGAATTTGTCTTATATTATCTAACTTCAAGTACCCAGCTCTGTTACTGAGCACTATGAATCCCCAGGCAAGATATTTAAGCTCTCTAAGGTTTAGATTTTCTTATATAAAATAAAGAATTTAAGTTAAATGACATATGGTCCCCTTTTATCTATAACATACTGTAATTTAACAAAATCTACCTTACGACCACATTAGTAAGAAAAGTACATGGAGGAGGCCGGGCGCGGTGGCTCAAGCCTGTAATCCCAGCACTTTGGGAGGCCGAGGCGGGTGGATCACGAGGTCAAGAAATCGAGACCATCCTGGTCAACATGGTGAAACCCCGTCTCTACTAAAAAAAAAAAAAATACAAAAAATTAGCTGGGCATGGTGGCACGTGCCTATAATCCCAGCTACTCAGAAGGCTGAGGCAGGAGAATTGCCTGAACCCGGGAGGCGGAGGTTGCGGTGAGCTGAGATCATGCCATTGCACTCCAGCCTGGGTAACAAGAGTGAAACTCCGTCTCAAAAAAAAAAAAAAAAGAAAAGTACATGGAAGACATCTTTCTTACTGACTTTTTAAAAATAAAGTTCATATGTAAGAATAATTAAACCAGTTGCAGATGGTAGAATGAATGCTTCAGGTAGTATATACCATGCTGAGAAATTAACTTCCACTTATCTACATAGAGAACTGAGAACCTGAAAGGACCTACTCCTTGTTAGAAAAGCCTTTAATTATGAATGAATTAGAAGGAAATATATTACTAATCATACAGGCAGACTCAATTTAACATTTGTTAAATGAGGCAAATGAGGCTAATATCTGCTCAATTTACCTTAAAAGTTCAGAGGATCAACTATTACATTTAAAAATGCTTCATAACCTACAGAAATAAAAAATTCTACTTTCCAAGGCATTCAAGTAAACTCCACTAACCTTTCCTACACGGCAAAAAGTAGCAAATTTTTCATCTTATAAAAATACAAGAGAAATATGATATTCAGAGGGGTGAATGTTATACCAGAGAGCGTATACTGTTAAAATAAGCACT